AGGGTGGTAATATGAGAAAGAGGGGAGTGGTGGGTGGGATGAATCGAATGGTGATGGCCCAGATAAGGGGGTTGCCCGAGGTTAAATAGCTGGGTAATTCCTCCCACAACTCCAGGCCACGTGTGTGTATGTATATATATACCTTTTTTATTGGGCTAACATAATACTTAAAATACAAACTTTACACACACACACACATACATATATATATATATATTGCTTTAGCATTAGTAATAATAATAGCTTGCTGTAGTATCACACTATGTAAAGCTATTAGAACCTATTCATAATATCATTACTATAGAAATGTTTATTTAACCTTATGGCTCAGGCTATGCCTATATTTTCATACATCCAAAGGAAACCGACAATGTCTAATAATTTCTTCCTGTGTATTCCCCAGTGGCTACTAAAGCGTTGTTCATTGTTCAAATTGGTTCTGAGTAGCTTATTGTCTTTGCAGGTATTGCTTATTCAGTTCTTTAGATATCGCATGTTCTCTCTCATTGCAACATGCACAACAAATGGGTGTAGGATGAAACATGTGCAGACTTTCAGATAGTGAATGCTTAAATATGGTACAACATTGATTTTGTCTACTTTTTAAGTAGATTTCATCCCATCATCACAATCTATGCCCTGAAGAAAATTGTCCTATTGTTCTATAAAACTGTCCTCCCAGTAAAAGGATCTTCAAATGCTATGATGGAGTAATTTAATTATTCGTCCATTAGGGGTTAAACTGATCATTTATTTGTATTTGTCAATAGAATTCCTATAAATTAAAAATAGATTTGCAAAATACAGGACGGCTTTAACCGTTGCTGGTAAAATTAGAAATGTTACTTGTTGACTGGTTAGCAAAATTGAAGAATGTTTTTTTTTTTTTTTATGTATTCACGCTGGTGTCTGTGAACACAATTCAATGAGTGTTTTTGTTTTTTTCTTTTCAAACTCACATATAATCTCGTATAGACTCTCATTACATAAAAATAGAAATAATTTTTGGATATATACTTTTTATCCAAGATTCACAAGTTGTGTAACAGAACAAACAAGCAACATAGTAGAGAAAAAAAGGCTTTCAAGTTACATGTGTAGTATTGATACAATAGAAGTCTGGATACTTTTCAATAATAAATACTTACAAGTATTTCAAGTGTGTGTGTATATAAATATAATATAGAGTCAGAGACTGATATTGCTTTCTTCAAGAATACATCTGAACACTGTAGGTATCGTGGGAACTACGAGCCTCTGCCTCCTGAAATTGTTTTCTGCAGCCAAATATAGCATGGCAGCCATAAAAATGCCACAAACTCAGTCCAGTACATTGCTTAATAAGTCTATGCATGTGTAGAATCATTTATAAAAATAAATAAATCTATAAATCTATCTATAGTCCTATAACCTAATTTTTTTTAATTTAAATTAAAAATGTTTTTTTCGTGCTTCTAAAACGTATTTTCATTTACAAATACAAAAGCCAAATGCAAGTAAGCTATAAGTATTAAGGACAAACTATACGATAACAAGCTGAATTCAAAGGTTCTCTTGAACAAGCAGAGTGTATCGCATGTGATAGCCCAGCCATCCAAACAGTGCCATACATATGTACCTCTTTTTATCTCTGGGACTGAGAATGCTAAAACATCCCCGACTCGGTGACTGCTATTGAAAAGGTGATACATGACCTGCCTAGTGACTGCTAAAAGACTTCAAACTGGCATTGAACAATTCCTAATAGTAACCGTGACCCCCAGGTTGCTCATTTCCTGCCTGTTAATGCCCTGCAAGGTTAAATCCAGGTCTTCTTAGAAGCACTAGTTGCCATGAAATTCTCTCCCCATTTGTCACTATTACTTAGTCGATCAGGGTAGAGTTTCAAATAACGATACATTATGCAGAGACCTTAATTGACACTACCTGATTTTCAACTTAGTGATGATTAAAACCAGCAAAATGCAAATCTGTGCACTTTCATGTCATGCCACATTATGTTTTATTATTTTCAGTATCCTCTTTCCAAAGCCATAAGGCAAGCCTTTGATAATTTTCTGCAGATTATTTTAATGGAAGGCTCCCAGCGCAGATGGATTCTGCCGCTATTTCCCATAGTAACTAATTTCGTAAACCTAGGGCCTGTGCAGGAATGTGTGTAGTTTACTTTAATGTTGATGTACTTAACTGACAACCCTCAGCAGATGTGAGCTCCATATCGACCTTATGTTTGCATCCTTTTAAAGAAAAAAAAAAATTATATCATGTTATTTTTTTCTAAAGATGCATTTCGGAATTCTAATTAGTTTTTTTTTTTTTTAAAGTGTGTATATGTAGCAAAATGTATAATGACTTTGAAGGGAACTTGGTATAAAAAGTTTAACTTGATTGAAACTCACCACAAGTGCATTGGCTTTGAGTGGTCCCCAAATTCAGACATTGAGAAGCAACTTTCAGGAGTCATTGAATTATTCTGTGTTCAAATCAGTGCGAGTGTTATCCTTGTTAGTAGCCTGGACGGCCCAGTAGCTTTTAACCCCTTTGTGGCAAAGGAATGAGTCAGATAATATAAATTTACCACCTTGTGCATTCTTATTTCAATCCCTATATGAAGAAGGGTTTTCTGATTGTAAGATTTGTGTAACCCCTTAAGGACACAACTTCTGGAATAAAAGGGAATCATGACGGAATATTTCCGTCATGTATCCTTAAGGGGTTAAGAAACAGATTCCGATACGATTTAGTTATATAATTTTAAAAACTACCTACATAATAAATAAAATTAGACTAGCATGTCAAAATAATAATAAGCCCCAGTGATCCCACTGATATTTACAGACAAGGAGCGATGCTCATTAAAACCATGTCCCTCGCATACTGATTTTTTTTTATATGTTAAATGTGTACTTATATATATGCTGATCATCAATCATTTTCTTTAGACAGTACATAACCGAGTTCTGTGCTGTATAGATCACTTTACTCATTGTGAAATTACAAAGGTAGTCTTTCGGTAATGCTGTAAGTCCTCAAATAATTGATAACACGCTTGGTTTAACATTTTATTGACACAGAGATTCACACAGATTTTTTCCAAGAATAAACTAGAGCACAGTTGCACTATAGTAAAACCGGCATACAAACAAACAAAAACAATTTAATAGCAGCCTGCCAGGATAACTTGTTCAAAGATTTAGCTTAATCATTTCAAGGTTCTTCCCTATATGTTAAAACTATTTACAAGCAGTGGGTATCCTCGCTGTTTATGTCTTGTACTTGCTGTGTATTACACGGGGAAAAGGATAAGTAGTGACTTAAGTAATCCTTTTCTAGGTCTCATATGTTGGATGTTTACCAAATAGCAGAATCTAATAAAATATTAACTATGTCTACAAACTTAAGTTACCTGTGATCCGTTCTTTAATTTGATCTCTTGCTTCGCTCAGTCAGATATGTACGTGCCAATGATGAGTTTACATAAGGTGCAAGCACAGATTGTCTTTCTGAATTTTATATATTGTTTTTCTAATGCCAAATACATACTTAGTTTTTCAAGCCAAGAGTCTTAAAGGGACACTGTAGGCACCCAGACCACTTCATCTCATTGAAGTGTTCTAGGTGCTGTGTCCCTTTTGCACCTAGCGCTGCAATGTTAAACATTGCAGCTCCGGAGAACATTGCAGCTCTAAGTCTGCCCACTAGAGGGCTTCTGGAATCCAAATAGACCTTTGGTCCATTATCTGAAGGTATCTGCTCTCCATGAGGACCTCCAGCGTCAGATTTTTCCCATAGGAAAGTATTAATCCAATGCTTTCCTACAGGGCTGCCATCAGAAATTTTGGGACTCCTGACACAGCTCAAGGTCTGGGCCCCCCCGAGTCCGCCCCAAGTCCACCCACAGGCCTGCCTCAGAGTCCGCCAAAAGGGATGCAGTGTGTGTACTGATTGTGGTGTATGTATAGTGGATGTAGGATGTGTGTATTGGATGCAAAGTGCGTGTGTAAAGTGGATGCAGTCTGTGTAATAGATGCAGTGTATAGTGGATGCAGATTGCACATTTGTGTAATGTATGAGGTGTATATTAGATGCAGAGTGTGTGTTTGTGTAGTGGATGTAGTGTGTGTGTTTGTATAGTGGATGTAATGGGTGTGTTTGTAGTGGATGTAGTGTTTGTGTGTATTAGATGTGTTGTGTATAGTGCATGCAAAGTGTGTGTTTGTGTAGTGGATGTAGTGTGTGTGTATAGTGAATACAGTGTGTATGTGTGTTTCTGTAGTGGATGTAGTATTTGGGTTTAATAAATGCGGTGTGTATAGTGCATGCAGAGTGTGTGTGTGTGTATAGTGAATGCAGAGTGTGTGTGCATGTTTGTGCAGTGGATGTAGTCTTTGTGTGTGTTAGATGCAGTGTGTATAGTGAATGCAGAGTGTGTGTTAGTGTAGTGAATGCAGAGTCTATGTTTTTTGTAGTGAAGGCAGAGTCTGTGTTTGTGTAGTGGATGTAGTGTGTGTGTAGTTAATTCAGAGTGTGTATAGTGCAGGCTGTTTGTGTGTATTAGATGCAGTGTGTATAGTGAATGTGGAGTGTGTGTTTGTGTAGTGGATGTAGTGTATGTTTGTGTAGGTATGTAATGTGTGTAAAATGGAGGGGCATTAAAATTTTTCTTACATTTTTAAAAAATATTTTATTTTGTAACATTTTATTTTACTCCCCTCTCCTGCTTCTTACCTGTCCAGGAAGGGTGGGAGATCACATTCCCTGGTGATCCCGTGGCTTGGTGCTCTGAGCCAGCCGCTGGAATCTGCAGAGGGGGCTGGCAGCACACTCTCACTTCCCTTCCCAGCAGCTCCCCGGTCAAACTCTCGCGGCCTGTGTGCCATGCGGAGCATTGCCATGGTAACCCGTGGCAACACTCTGACGGCTGTGGGACAAGTGAGATTTAGACAGGGGAGCTGCTGGGAAGGGAAGGGATAGTGTGCTGCGGGCCCCCAGCTATCCGTTTGTTGCAGAGGAGGCCTGCAGCACACTCTCACTTCCCTTCCCAGCAGCTCCTGTCTCTAACTCTCGCGGCCTGCATGCTGAGCGGAGTGTTACCATGGTAACCCGTAGCGACGCTCTGACAGATGCGGGGCGCGCAAGATTTAGACAGGAGAGCTGCTGGGAAGGGAAGTGAGAGTGTGCTGCGGGCCTCCTCTGCAACAAACAGATAGCCGGTGGCCCGCAGCACACTATCACTTCCCTTGGTTCAATTCACCATAGAGAGATGGTGAATTGAACCAAGCAAATTCATGGTTACAGGGCCCTAATCTAATCCCTGGGCTATCGGCAGCTCAAGACCTAAAATACTCCCATGGTTAATCCTGCTCTGTTTGTGGCAAAGATATTGATTGAATGTAGTCTAAAAAAAACTCTTGTGCTAGAAGATTTTATCTTCTATAAGAAAATAGTGTTGCTTCCACCACTGGGACAATCAGCGTGATATAGATACTTGCAAGTCTGACCCTGGATTGTTTGTCTTGTACCTTCCTCTCTGATTATCCAACATCTAGGGGCATCTTGTATAACTGATATGTCATTGGAACTAATTAGTAAGCCATATTACTGACTCCACAGGGAATACTGAATGAATTAATAGTCTCTTCTGAGTGAAGTATAGAGATTAGTATGTTTACAAGGATTCAGAGATGGTTTCATGTCACGTCTGTCCAGACAAGCTGCCATAAGACTCTTTATAGCACTGTGCTACTGTAATGTAGACTTAATAACAACTCTGTACTGTTCTAGAACACCATGGAACACTGTGTTACTCTAAAATATGCTTCTCTAGAATGTTGTGCTCTTCTTGTAGGTTTCCTTAGAACACCAAGCTGTTCTAGAGTATATTTTCTTAGAATACAGGATTTCCAAATATGCTTCTATAATAATGATGTGCTATATATAGTGACCCATTTATGAGGTTTTCTGTCTGGTTACGAGGTTTAATATACCACATTACTGTTTCAATATGTGTAAATTCCCAGAAACAAATATTGTTAGTTCCATTACAGAATGAAAGATTGAGAGAAATGTATTACTAACATTAATTTTCTAGGTCACCTAAACCATGTGACTAGTATCTGGTAATAAACATTGCAATAGACGATTGGGCCTTAAACTGTAAAAAAAAAAAAAATGTACAGTTTGCTTAAACTTACGGTCTTTTTTTAAAATTTATTTTTTATAATTTCCAAAATAAATAAACTGATGCAAATACTATTAATGTTAATTATGTACGCAAAGTATGTGCACACATCAAGTGAATGTCCTCATTAAATAAAAGTGATAGCCAACAGAAAGGTTTGCTTTCCCCGAAACGTTATCTGTTTAACCTGCATTTTTAGTTTGGCCTTTTTTTCCTCACCTTACACATAAAAAACCCCAAAGAGTTTAGTGATTTAAGAAAACCGTTTAAAAAAAAAACAAAAAAAGATAAACAGTCTCACGCAGTCCTTTGTCTAAACGGTATGAATATGAGCTCCAAGTGCCCGCGTCATTTGTAAGCATTCTTTTTCACTTCTTTCTTAATTTAACAAGAAACAAGTAGTAAATGAAAGCCGCTAGTCGAGATCCCACTGTGAGCCTGGTTTGCACTTGGCTCCCTTGTGAAAAGGCAATTTGCGAAATTATGTGATAGAGTAATTAGACGAAAAGCAGGGCTCGTGATTGTTACCATGCTTGTGTGGTGGGGACCCGCGTTAAAAAAGGAAAAAGATAAAATAACGGATTATTACCCAGGCAAGTTGGCTCGAAGCGTCTTCATTTATTTGTAAACAGAATAATAGTGACCACATAGGAAGTTGCTATAATCACCAGCTCGTAAAGAAACCACAGAAGTACTTTTTCGATTTTATACAGAGTGCTCATGTAAAATTTAAGCTGGGAAGCAGCCTCCCTGTTAATGTAATTAGGATCTAATTTACCACCCTTTGCACACAGATGTAATAATGCTTTAATATTTAGTCAGTCTTTAAGCACTTTATAGTATACCTCGGTGCAGTAGTTAGTGAACAGAAACAGGTGTGAACCCTTTTATAATTCATTTTTACATGGCAAACACATTGTATTTCCTGGGAAATATTTACAGGAGACAGAAGAAAAACAATATCTTTGTACAAGGTGGTAATGGACAGTTAGGCCCTTTATAGGCTCATGTATTTCTCAATGGTTAAGTAAATGAAAGGCAACGTAAGAAAAATCAATATGCTTGCAGAGTCTTGGTTGTGCCTCATAGACTTTAGGACATAATGACAGATGTGTTGCATATGAACATTTAAGTATTAATGCCTTGGAACAGCCTTGGCATGCAGGCCAAGAAATATTCGGCAATATTGTATCGCTAAATGTAATTAGCTGTATGGTCCCTGGACCCCCAAATTTGTCCAGGGATATTGTTTAGTGTGTTTGTTTTGTTCTGTTTGTTTATCATGAACATTGTTTCAAAGGAAGATCGTTCATGAGCTGAGATTTTTCAGTTACAGGTTGTGATCATTTGTAATGAGCTGTAGTGAGAGTTCTTAATAGATTTCAGCAGACAGTGGAGTTTTTTTTTTTTTTTTACATAATGAGATTCCATTTTACTTAAGGAAATCAGGGGAAACTGTAATTTGATCGTGATTCTGAGCAAAGGCTTGTGTGATGGATTTAAAAAAATAAAATTGTGTGCTAAATTTATTACATATATAGACTTGTATAATCTGCTGCTTGCATAAATCTCATTTTAATCTCTACCGTAACATATTTTCAATGGTATGTACTTGCAATTGTTATATGATGCTACTAATCACTTATCGGCACAGTTACAAGAGATAAAAATTTAAAACTTATTTCACCTCCTCCATGATAGCACACGTGTTTAACATAGAAGACTATACACTCAATAACTAATTAATTGGGAATTCAATATTAGTGGATCACACTTTCCTGATTCCTGTCACATGTTCCACCCTTTAGTAAATGAAATTGGCACAACAAAATTAGGATTTCCTAATTCTTCTGTTTAAAAAAATAGTCTTTCGGGTGCTGCAGAGCTCCGGGAAATCTAATAAAACGCTTCTTCCTACACAAGGACCTTTACAGGAATGAGGTATGGACATTCTGTCCAGTAGTCCATCAAAATGGGAATCAACTAAGGCTGTGTTTTAGACCTGCCCACTTTAGCAGGTCTTCATATTGAGTGAGAGCGAGGGTCAACAAGGGAGGAGCAGATGGTGACCATGTCCATGATGCTATTAACATCACCAACATTGTTCCTGTCCACAAAGGAGGCACTTCATATTGGCTCACAATCACTCCAAGAAGACAGGCTGCCCTGTAGGACAACTAATCAGAGCTTTTACACTGAGCGATGTTGTAGCACTCCTGTATGGACATAAAATACCCAGATTTTACCACTGAGTGCACTGCAATCACTTTTAAACATGTGCTTACATCACACTTTTTCCTCAGTCCTCCCAACACTGGGTGACACCAAGCTGTAAGGAGATCGGGAGGTTTAAGGGAAAATCAGTGGTCACAGCACCACAATGACATTACTATAATACTCACATTTGTTTTAACAGCCAAATCTGTTGATTTCTGTTGGTGTACTCCTGTAATAACTTTAAAAAAAAAAAAATGCAACTAATCTGTACTGCACCTGGCAATCATGAATTATAGATTTGGAAACCCATAGAATAGTGTCTCAGTAGATAGCTTCACATGCAGATTCCTGCTAGATATATATATATATATTTTTTTATAAATAATATAAATGGATTTTATTTCTAGTTAAGGACTGCTGACACAGCAGTTTTGTTTTTCTGTGTAGATATTTCCTGGTTAGATGAGTAAAAGAAATGTAAAAAAAATTGTTGTTGTGCCTCGTGTATTTTTATAAGAGTATATGATTAAGTTTCTTAATTGTTTTGTACAGATGATCTTAGATGACTCATGTAAACAATTATTTGGTGTGATAGCGCTAAATGATTACAACGGATGGTTATTTTGTAGTCTAATAGGAGAACCTCTTAGATGACGCAGTGAGACAGAGTGTTATGATTAGACTTGTTTAGGATGTATCTGTATTTGGTTATTGGTTGGAGTTGGGGCTGTGTTGTGTTATATAGACTAGTCTAAGGGTTGGCAAGCTTTGGAACTCCAGATGGACTACATCTCCTCTGGTGCTTTGCCAGCATTCTCGCTGTAAGAGCATTATGGGAGATATAGTCCACAACATCTGGAGTTCCAAAGTTTGCATACCCCTGGGAATTCAAGTACCTTGTCATTTGCCCACCTTTAACTTCATTGCTTTGTTGATCAAATGTATTGCTGAAGGTTTTCATTAAAGGAACACTATAGGCACCCTTCTTGATGATGTTATCTGGGTGCCACGTGCCCCAAGTCTTAACCCTGGAGCTGAAAACATTGACGTCCTGCAGGAATGGCACTATTTTTCTTGCAGTTAGCTTGCACTTATGCAAAATAGTGAGGTAAAATTCACTGATACCATCTTACTGGCACAGCGCAGCATTTTGCCATGCATGTGCACTGACCTCCTAATGCTTTTCTATGGGAAAGCATTGGATTGCCTGAGATCATTGATCTTGATGATCTTAGCCAATGAGGCGCAACTAAACACCAGAGGCCAGCGCTGTGAGGGAGAAAAGGAAAGTAAAACTACCTTTCTAACTATGGCAGTGGGGGTCCAGTCACAGTCACCTAAACAGCGACTAGGGCACTATAGCATTAGGATTAAACATTTGTATTGTTAATGCTATTGTTAATGTTAAAGAGTTCCTTGAAATAGCAGACAGCCTATTCTACTAAACTCACCCCGGCTCCAGTGTTTCTCTACATCGTATAATATTCCGTAAGTATTGTTTTAAAAATATATACAATAAGAAAGAATGGTAAAAAAAAAATGCTGAAAGCCTACAAATCTGGGGGGAGTCTTCTAGCAGATCTCTGTCGTAAACTCTTCTTTAATTTTCTGTTGTTTTGAGAAGCATTAAGCAAGGGAAGTCACGGATAAAAAGCATAGCTGAGTCAAATCATTCAGCTCAGCGTTTATTGGGACCTAATGTGCCCCAAACCTACACCTCGCCTTGAAAACATCATCTATTACAAGAATGACAGGCCCATGGGATTCACTGGAAGGAGTTCAATTGTGGAAGTCATCATACA